CGTAGGAAATCGTTTCTGTATATGCATGTGTGTGTGTGTTTGTGGGTGTGTGTGTGTGTGTGTCTGTGTGTTTGTGTGTGTGTGTGTGTGTGTGTGTGTGTCTGTGTGTTTGTTTGTGTGTGTGTGTGTGTGTGTGTGTGTGTTGTGTGTCTGTGTGTGTGTGTGTGTGTGTGTGTGTGTGTGTGAGTGTGTGTGTGTGTGTGTGTGTGTGTGTGTGTGTGTGTGTGTGTGTGTGTGTGTGTGTGTGTGTGTGTGTTGTGTGTTTGTTTGTGTGTGTGTGTTGTGTGGTGTGTGTGTGTGTGTGTGTGCCGTGTGTGTGTGTGTGTGTGTGTGTTGTGATGCTGTGTGTGTCGCGTGACTATCATTGTCAGATCAAATCAACTTAAGAACATGTAGAAAGACCACGCCTAACACCAGCCTTTTCCTCAAAATATCACACGTGCCCAATGCCCAATTTCGAGATATTTTCAGCATACACGTAGTCACATATTGATTGAAAGCTAATGCCTAAATTGTGCTTGATTATTACACTATCAAAACGGTCGAAAATAGAACTTTGAATTCTAATGGAACTCGAATTAAAGAACATATAATCGTAATTGTGGATTTCTGTTTATCTTATTGTTTATATGTTTATTCAATAATATAAAGAGGATAAGATTATGTAATAACAAACGCCTGTACATTGTAGAACAGACTGGGTCGTCTAGGTGAAAAAAAAAAAAAAAAAAAAAAAAAAAAAAAAAAAAAAAAAAAAAAAAAGTTTGCGAAACACTGCTTTGTGCAAACTCTCTCTCTCTATCTCTCTCTCCTCTCCCTCCACCCCACCCCCCCCGTCGACCCGTCTCTATCTATCTTTCTCCCTCTCCCTTCCTCTCCCACCTCTCCCCCCCCTCCAATCTCCCTCTATTCGAAATGTAGAAAACTATATTTCGTGTGAAATTGCTGTGTTGCGATGTTTAATGAAGCCTCATATCGAGAAATTGTTTCTCATTTTTACAGAATCTTTTGAAGATCAATATTCTTTTCACATTTGTCTTATTAGCCATTCACTCGTAAAGCCATTTTTTTTCATATTTGTTTGAAAGGGTCTGTATTTTCGCATTTTTCTGTGCCTCATATTCAGAATTTAGTATGTATGTAGTAACAATAAAACAACATCATTTTTCCTTTGCGGATATTACAATCATAAAAAAACCTTAGATGCATTTGACACTATCACAAATTATCTCCAATAATATTTGAATTAACGTATGGTCCAACTGTCAAAAAACAAAACAAAAAAAAAAAACAGTATTAAAAAAAAAAAAAAAAATCTATTATTCGGATTTATTTAGTTCAGTTACCCCGTTCAGTCCATTTCAATCTGCCAAGGGGATCCCCACCTGATTTTTCTCACAATCTCCACACTACGAAAAATTGAGCCTCGTTCAGCTGGAAGGAACTGAAGTTTGATGGGATTGAGTTTCTTCAGCCTTCGTTCTTCCACTCAAGATTTCAGGCTACCTCTTCTTCAAGAAGGAGGTCTCAGCTCTCATCCGCGTATGCTAACACGTTCTGACATGTATCTGAAGGATCTATGTCTTCAAAAACGTTTATTTGCGAGATTTTTTTTTTATATATAATTCTCTGTTCTCAGTTCGGTTCTGTGGTGTACGTTCACAGCGGTTCAGGTTTAGGGATGGACAAATTCTACCTTTGCGGATCTACCTTGTGTCTTTCACTGTTCCATCATCTTTTATTTTATTATTAATTTATCTATCTATTTATCTTTTTTTTAATTGAATTCTACTTTTTGGTCTCTTCGTATTTGGGTTAGAGACTATGCGTATTTCTTTTAGCTTTAAAGTTTCTTTTAACTTTACGCTCCCTTCCTGTCAGTTGTATATCTTTGAGTAATATGCTTTTTCTGAAGGTTCTCTCAACTTGAAGGGCTTCTCGAAGTTGCGTGCTAGTGTTAATATTTTAAGTAATTTTAATCTCATGTTTTTTTCATTTAAAAATCTCCTTTCTGCATTGTAGATATAAAGGCTATTTGCTCCGAATGACTCCTATTTCGTTTTCCTTTTCAGTTTGCATTCTTAGCTTTTGTTTTTTGAGGACGATTTTTTGATGATTTCGGTAGACCTGACAACCCGCCAGGCAGCCTCACCACATCATCTTAATGACCACGTATTTGTTATTCATTGTTTTATCTCTACTGTGCGATTTCCTCTTAATGTCGTGTCTTCTCATAGGCGAGAGAACAAGCGCCATGGGACAGAGGTTCTCAATTTTTTTTATGGCTGCGACCCCTATAAATTACTCCGATATATTCCCGCAACAACAAAATATCATCAATAACACATTATTCGTACGGCAAAGGATGCATGCATACATAACGTAGCTTTACGATGCATTCTTCCTCTTCTCTCTCTGCTCCTTCCCTCCTCCTCCTCTCTCTACCTCCCTCCCTCCTCTTCTCTCTACCTCCCTCCCTCCTCCTCTCTCTACCTCCCTCCCTCCTCTCTCTACCTCTCTCCTCCTCTCTCCCTCCCTCCCTCCTCCTCTCTCTACTCCTCCTCCTCCTCTCTCTCCTCTACCCTCCTCCTCCTCTCTCTACTCTCCCTCCTCCTCTCTCTCCCTCCCTCCCTCCTCTCTCTCCTATCCTCCCTCCCTCCTCCTCTCTCTAACCTCTCCTCCCTCCTCCTCTCTCTCCCTCCCTACCTCCTCTCTCTACCTCTCTCCCTCCTCTCTCTACCTCCCTCCCTCCTCCTCTCTCTATCCCTCCCTCCTCCTCTCTATCCGCTCCCTCCTCCTCCTCTCTCTCTCCCTCTCCCTCCCTCCTTCTTCTACCATCCTCCTCCTCCTCTCTACCTCCCTCCCTCTCCTCTCTACCGTCCTCCCTCCTCCTCTCTTTCCTCCTCATCCTCTCTCTCCTCCGCTCCTCCTCTCTCTCTCCATCCCTCCCCCTCTCTTCTCCCTCCCTCTCTCTCTACTCCCTCCCTCTCCTCTCTCTCCTCCCTCCCTCTCCTCTTCTCTCTCCCTCCCTCCCCCTCTCTATCTACCTCCCTCCCTCCTCTCCTCGCTCCCTCCCTCCCTCCCTCGCTCCTCTCTCTAGCCTCCCTTCTTCCTCCTTTCTCTGCCTCTCTGCCTCCCTCCTCTCCTCTCTCCCGTCATCCTCGCCTCTCTCTTCCATCCCTCCCTCCTCCTCTCTCTATCCCTCCCTCCATCCCCTCCTCCTCTCTCTCCATCCTCCCTCCTCCTCTCTCTCCATCCCTCCCTCCTCCTCTCTCTCCATCCCTCCCTCCTCCTCTCTCTCCATCCCTCCCTCCTCCTCTCTCCATTCCTCCCTCCTCTCTCCTCTCCATCCCTCCTCTCCTCTCTCTCCTCCCCTCCCTCCTCCTCTCTCTCCATCCCTCCTCCTCCTCTCTCTCCATCCCTCCCTCCTCCTCCTCTCCATCCTCCCTCCTCCTCTCTCTTCTCCATCCCTCTCCTCATCCTCCTCTCGTCTCTCCATCCTCCTCTCCTCTCCTCCCCTCCTCCTCTCCCTCTCCCTCCTCCCTCCTCCCTCCATCCCTCTCCCTCTCCTCCTCTCCTCTCTCCTCCATCCCTCCTCCCTCCTCCCTCCCTCCCTCCCTCCTCCCTCCTCTCCCTCCCTCCCTCCTCTCCTCCCTTCCTCCCTCCTCCTCCTCTCTCTCCCTCCTCCTCTCCTCTCCCTCTCCCCCCCTCCCTCCCTCCTCCTCTCTCTCCCTCCCTCCTCCTCCTCTCTCTCCCTCCCTCCTCCTCCTCTCTCTCCTCCCTCCCTCCTCTCTCTCTCCTCCTCCCTCCTACTCTCTCTCCCTCCCTCTCCTCCTACTCTCTCTCCCTCCCTCTCCTCCTACTCTCTCTCCCTTCCTCCTCTCTCCCTCCTTCCTCCTCCTCTCCCTCCCTCCCTCCCTCCTCTCTCTCCTCCTCCCTCCTCCTCTCTCTCCATCCCTCCCTCCTCCTCTCTCTCTCCATCCCTCCCCTCCTCTCTCTCCTCCCTCCCTCTCCTCTCTCTCCATCCCTCCCTCCTCCCTCCCTCCCTCCCTCTCCTCTCTCTCCATCCCTCCTTCTCTCTCCATCCCTCCCTCCTCACCAGGCATCGGGAAGATCGACTACACTTTTCAAATCCTAAACGCGTTAGGATGGGTAGTTGGGGAGGAGGGGGAAGGAGGGGGTTCTAGGACCTCGGGACCCCCCACTTTAAAAAAAAGAGAGAGGAGAGGGAGAGAGAGAGAGAGAGAGAGAGAGAGAGAGAGAGAGAAAGAAAGAAAGAACGAGAGAGAGAAGGGGGGAGGGAAAGAGAGGGGAGAGAGGGAAAAGAAAAAGAGGAGAGCTTTGTTTATGAATACTCCCCTTCTTTATTATGCTGTTAAGCTGCTTCGCGGTTCAGGGCAAGCATCGTATTACATGACCTATATTTGGCTTCCTCTCAGAACAGGAGAACAATTGAACAGAGCAAATAAGCAGTCGAACTGGATAGCGTATTGTTAGCGGTTCAGACCTACACAAACCGATTCAAGAAGCTTGTACAGTTTAATGGAGTGTATTCTAAGGCCCTTATCGGTTATTTTGCTTCATACTTTATTCATTAATTTCTTCAGCTTCTTCTTCAGCGGCTTTTCCTCGTATATTTACATTTCCTGCATAACATGTTTCTTTCACGTTTTGCTGTATTTACCTGTAGTGGCTTTACCTTTCACTCGTTATTAATTTTATACCATTTCTCTTTTCACGTAATTCATCTTTATCATGTCATTTATGCGGATTTTCCTTCACTTTTTCTCCACAATTTTTATTGCGTTATATGTAATTCTCCTCATTTACTAATATTTTTTTCATGACTGTGTTTGTGTTCGACACTTTAATGTTTTTTCCACCATTGTTTATTTTTCCAATACGCTGTCCTTTTGTTCATCCGTAACCATTTTATTGTGTGTTTTTTTTCTTTTTTACGTTAGTTAATAACTCCAAAAAGCTTACACTGTAGGTTTTACATCTCTATTTCGAAGCTAGGGCTACTCCAGTTCTCTGTATTTTCAAAGGCCATTGCAGATCGGTCAGCACTTGAGTCTTTCCTGTTTACTCATTTTTTGGAAGCATTTTCACGATTGCTGAAATTTTCATTTATAATTTTGACATATACTTTGCTTGGCTACGTTGTGCTTAAAGCTTTTTTTATTTTATATTTTTTTTTTTTTTCGTTCGGAATGTTTGCTTTGTGTGTGTGTGTGTTTTTTTTTTTTTTTTTCAATACTATGTCCTTTATAATTCATTTTCCTGCATGCTACAATGGACCTTTTTTTTGCCGGGATGATAGAGTTATTTATGTCTACATCGGTTTGTAATCTATTTAAATAACATTCCCAGCTTGGGATGCAATTAAGAGTTTTATTAAGACCTGTCGAACACAAAGTCACTGAATCGTTGTTTTATTATTGCACAATACCCTTGCAAATCAACGCGCTTTGGTACACAGGCTAAAGGTCTCGAACACACATTGCCTAAACCATTTCTGGCAATATGCACAAGGTACAGACATATTGGTAAACCTGCCGTACAATAAAAAGTGATTGCCTTTACACATGTTGCCACTGAGGGAGAGGTCCGCAGCAGCGTGTCGAAGAGGGACAAGTAGGATATGTGTGCGAACGATGCCCGTGCAGTAGTTCAAAATATGTTTATGTCCGAAATGAGTCCAAAATAGTGTGTATGTCTATGTCCGTGTGTATACATGCATTTATGTCCACATATATATTTCTAAGCATTTGTATGTATGTATGTTTGTGTGGATGGTTGATCAAGTCATATATACACACGGTCCGCTTGCGCCCGCCCTCAGATATAAGCTGACCTTGACCTCCAATAAAACGGATGGAAACAGAATCAGTCTCATATACTACTATGTTCCAGTCATGCGCATTTTATCTGTCATTTTATGCTCATTTTATCTGTCACGGTTTGAAAATCTTACTGTTTATCGATCTTTTCCTGCATGTACGGCCTCCTCCCTCCCCTTCAGGTGGTGGTATCCCAGAGCAAGATGCTGGTCGCTCTGCGGGATCAGCACTGGAAGGACGTGAGGAAGATCATGAGTCCCGTCTTCTCCACTGCCAAGATGAAGAAGGTAAGGATGAGACAGAGGGGGAGAGAAGAAAGATGGGAGAAGGGGAAAGAAAGAGGGACTACAGACAGAGAAGGAACAGAAGCCAAAATAGAATGAGAGATGCATGGACTCTCAGGAAGTTTTTAAACATGGTCAATTAGAGAAACTGAGGTTCCTTAGCGCCTGAACATGGTTATGTGACTATCTTTAGAAGGAGGCTTGATGAGATGTAAATGTAAATCTAGAAGGATGATCAAGAGCTAAATTGCCATACACATGTTATTCTTAGACTAAATGATACCAAATAAAAAAAAAAAAAAAAAACGCCACGGCACTCCCACGTGAGAATATTGCATTCTGCCTCAAAGCTTTGTGTTCTTTGTAGCATAGAGCCACTTAGAAGGGATGACCTGCATGTCGGAAGTTCCAGATAAGGCTTTCTGATGCAGATGATGCCGCTTATGAGTGGCTGCGTGGAGGTGCTGCTCCAGAAGTGCCATCAGCTGGCCTCCTCTGGACAGGAATTCGACATCTACGTGACCCTGCAGTGCCTCACCATGGACGTCATAGACCGGTGTGCCATTACGCTCGGCCTCCAGTGCATCAACAATCCAGAGGTACATCAATTCGACAATATCGGTAACATAGCTTAGTCCCCATGCAATGACACCTATATATATTACACAGTCACACGCACATACGTGTATATGTGTCTGTGTGTGTGAGTGAGTGTGTGTGTGTGTGTATGTGTGTGTGAGTGAGTGTGTGGTGTGTGTATGTGTGTGTGAGTGAGCGAGTGAGTGAGTGTGTGTGAGTGTGTGTGTGCGTGTGTGTGCGTGTGTATGAAAGCCAATCCCCTGACCCCACCCTGTCCTTCATAGAACGAAATCCTCGAGAACTTCCGCAAGCTGTTCAACCGGCCGCCGAGCCTCGTGACGCGGCTCATGCACACCTTCCCGTCGCTGCTGACGCTGATCTCGGCGTCCATGCGGCTAGCGGGCGCCGGCGTGCACCGTCAGAAGAACGTCATCGTGGAGCACCTGCGGGTCGTCGTGAAGGAGAGGAGGGAGCGGGGAGGCCATGGCGGGGTAAGCGTCACGTGGCTCCGTTGGTTGGAGCGTTCGTCTCGCGTTTCCCTGACGTGGGTTCGAGTCCCGGTCGGAGAGGTTGAGTTATTTATAAATCATATCAACGAGTTATTCATATATCATATCAACGAGTTATTCATATATCATATCAATGAGGTAGTGCATTATTCCATCTTTCATAAATGAACACAGTACTCTGATTTCGGAATTGAAGTGCTCTATCGAATTCTACCGAGTGCCGATCGCGAGTGAGTGTAAAACTTCGCTATCACAGATAGGTATGTCTATGGAAGCTAGATAGTTCCTAATTGTCTGCGCATATATGAACACATACTCAAAGGTATGTATGTATATATATATATATATATATATATATATATATATATATATATATATATATATATATATATATATGTATATATATATGTATATATATATATATATATATATATATATATATATATATATATATATAATATATATATATATATATATATATATACATTATATATATTATATATATATATATATATATATATATATATATATATATATGTGTGTGTGTGTGTGTGTGTGTGTGTGTGTGTGTGTGTGTGTGTGTGTGTGTGTGTGTGTGTGTATATATATATATGTGTGTGTGTGTGTGTGTGTGTGTGTATGTATATATATATTAATATATATAATATATATATATATATATATGTATTATATCATTATAATATATATATATATATATATATATATATATATATATATATATATATATATATATATATATATATATATATATATATATATATATATATATATATATATATATATATATATATATATATATACATGCACAACACACACATACAGATATATATATATGTGTGTGTGTGTGCACATCTGTGTGTGTACGTCGCCTTTGCCACAAAATTAAAAGATTAGCATATGAAGCACGGTTAGAGTTTAGTTTAGTGACGATTAAAAGTTACTGAAACTTTTTGTCTTTATTTCCATATTAACTGGAGCAATGGAAGCGAGCCGTCGAAGAAATGAAATATTCGATTAGGAAACTTTTTTTAATGAAATATCTTCTCTCTAAGCTTTACTATGAACTTCAAAAGCGTAACAAATCCACAGTTTTTTTTTTTTTTTTTTTTTTTGGTGTACTTTCTTGCGTCCGAGTAGATAAAGTCATATTAGTAAGTCTTGAATAATGTCTATATTACGTCATTCTGAACACATGCACAGATTCCCACCTGCAAGTCTACGTGACGCATTTCCCGAAAGTACTAATAATGTGTTCATTGTACAGGTGGAAAAGAGCATCGACGCCTTGCAAATGCTGATTGATGCTTCGTGCAATGAGCAACAGGATTCGGGGAAAACCACTCTGTCTGGTACGTTTTTTCATCTCTTTTCTCCTCTTTCGCTTTTTTTTTTTACGAGTATTTTTTCGTCTTCTATCCCTATCATTTGTTCGTTGTATCTTTCTTTTATTATTAAGTGCAATGCTGGACTCGTTAATCCTCACCTTTTTAAACAATTTCCCTACAGAAAAAGAAAGAAAGAAAAGAGATAAAACTACACCACTTTTTTTTTTTTTTTATTCACCCAGCGATGTCAGAAGTAAAATGTTTATGTAACATACGAATGGAAAGGTGAAACATAAACTGAATTATAGTTATAATTGCAAGTTACTTTCTAGGTATTGTTAATTCATAGCATATATCTCACTTCTATTTAATCTTATACCATTCTGCATCGTGTGTTGTTGTTTTTTTCCTAAATCTTTTTCTTGTTTGGACCCGGAAGAGCAAGAGGTGGTGGACAACGCCTTCCTTTTTCTGGCTGCGGGTTTTGAGACCACCAGTAACGCCCTTGCTTACGTCGCCTACCTGCTGGCGCTCCACCCGGACGTCCAGGAACAGGTCTTCGAGGAGGTGTCCCAAGTGGTGCAGGCCGAGGTGAGAGCTCGTCTCCTTTGGACTCCAGAATCTCATGGAAAGTAGAGCTTTTGAATGAGAAAGATTCCATGGCTTTATCGACTGTAATTGGTTGTTTATCTATGTATTTATGATGAAAGATCTCAAATGCAGGGCTTCTCTCGTTCTGGACTGGTCTTTTTTTGTGTTCTTTGACGTCTTTAATACCTGTATGTATATATTCATGTATATATATTCACCGCAAATCACGGCCCGTTGCTGCTGCCAGGGAGGACTCACGTACGAGGCGCTGGCCAAGCTGGTGTACACGGAGGCGGTGGCGATGGAGGCCATGAGGATCTACCCGCCAGTGACGGGCTTCGTGCTGCGAGAGACGGCCAGGGAATGGACTTACGGCGGCTACACGTTCCCCGCGAAGAGCGAAGTGGAGGTGCCAGTGTGGTCCATTCACAACGACCCGACCCTCTACCCGGAGCCACAGGTCTTCAAACCAGAGAGGTGGAGACAGGAAGTGGATAGAAGTAACAAATAATGAATTACATCCAATAATGCTATTCTCGAATTAGTTTTGTTTCTCCAACGTACAACTGCTTATACTATCTATCATCTGTGGACGTCACATCAGCTGTAGTGGCATGGAGCTCGATATATTTCAGATTTCTTCCTGAGGAAAAGAAGAGTCGGCATCCGATGTCGTTTTTGGCCTTCGGAACAGGTCCAAGGAACTGCCTCGGGATTCGCTTCGCCATGATGGAGATCAAACTCACTCTGGGAACCATCGTCCAGCATTTCCGCTTCAAAACTTGCTCGCGCACAGAGGTAACGATCGAAAGCTTTGGGCAGCACTTTTTTTTTTGTTTTTTTAGCTCTTTTTTTTTGCGATTTTTCTCTTTTTTTTCGTTTTTTTTTGTTTTTTATTTTTCTTTTTTCTTCGTTTCTTTGCGATTTTCTTGTTTTTTCTTTTTTTTTTTTTCATTTTTTCTTCGTTTTTGCGATTTTTTTCTTTTTTTTGTTTTTGCGATTTTTTCTTTTTTTTTTTCCTTTTTTTTGCAATTTCCCTCCTCTTTTCGTTTACAATTTATGCCCCAAGGGTGATCAGCCTTTATTTCTCTCACCCATAAGACATTAGAATTCACACATACTTTATCATACAGATCCCTAACCTCAGCACATCGCCCTTACCCTCAGGTGCCGCTTCCTCTTGTCACCAGAGGGGCGCTGACTCACCCTCGGGACGGCGTTTGGCTCACCCTCGAAGCCCGCTGAAGGCCCAGCGCTGCTTGGTGGGGCCGGCCAGAGGGAGAGAGAGAGAGAGAGAGAGAGAGAGAGAGAGAGAGAGAGAGAGAGAGAGAGAGAGAGAGAGAGAGAGAGAGAGAGAGAGACTTGTATGAGATGGAGAGGGAAAAAATGATGAGAGAGAGAGAGAGAGAGCTTGTACGAGTGAGAAAGAAAGGATGTACGATGGAGAGAGAGAGAGAGAGAGAGAGAGAGAAGAGAGAGAGAGAGAAAGAGAGAGAGAGAGAAAGAGAGAGAGAGAGAAAGAGAGAGATCGAAAGAGAGAGAGAGAGAGAGAGCTCAACAAACCAGAACAAAGGCGCAGAATTAACGACAAAGCTTCCACCGAAAATAAACGAGAAAAATAAAGGAGTAAAGAAATAATGCCATTGAATATATCAAGGATTCAGGGGAGACTGTACGTTAGCAGTAATTTTTTTTCAGAAAATATGGGTCCATATTCTTGCCAGTTGCCTTTCTACACCACCTACATACCAGATCTAAAGGACATACCTACCTACATATCTACGCCCACCATCTGTAACAAAAAAAAAAAAAGATGTTTTTCTCCTTCCTACAAAAGACGCTTTAAAACCTGTACCTACACATCTGCATCCTCGGTTACAATAAGAACAGTACCTCTTCCCAACTGACTTTTTTCTTCTTCCTTTTGCTTTGCTCTGGAAAAAAATATATATATCTGAGGATTGTGCAAAAGCAGGGAATAAAAAGGTGCTGTGAATCTCTACTCCGGCGCCTGTACCCTGGTCGTAAAAAGACATTATCCCTCCACCTCTTTCCAACAGAGGACAGCATTACACAAAGTACATGCAGAGAAACGTCATGCTACGGTAAAGGAACATAAAGATGGCCATTGGGGGGATAAAAAAGGTAATATGGGTAAAAGAACTGTAATATATAAACGATATTTTTGTAAGAAATTTTATATTAAGAAATGAATATGAATAAATGTAAGAAATAAATGATACTGTTTGAGCAATACACTATTTCTCCGTTATTATGAATAACTATTACGCGGTAGAAAATTCCGTAATGATATAGGGTGCATTTGTCTTAGCCATTCTTAATCCATATGCATATGTATATATGTATATACATGTGTGTGAGCCTCTACTTTGTATGATCTATTATTATTGTTCGTTATGCAGCTTATCACGGAATTTCCTTCCCTTCCTCCACCAACGCAAGATTGCTGCCTCTTGCCTGACGGGTCGTTACAGCGTGTGTGTGTGTTGTGTGTGTGTGTGTGTGTGTGTGTGTGTGTGTGTGTGTGTGTGTGTGTGTGTGTGTGTGTGTGTGTGTGTGTGTGTGTGTGTGTGTGTGTGTGTGTGTGTGTGTGTGTGAAAAGAATATCAGATCAGCGGTCTTTCCTTGGGCTACTCACTGAACACCGTCCTGGCCTGCTTCTCCACGGGGACGCTAAAAAGGGATCACTTCAGAAACATGATCGGCTAGACATGACATCTGGCTCTGTCACGTAAATGATGTTCTCGTTGTCGTCCCAAGGAGATCGTCCTTACGTCATAACCTGGAGGAAAAAAGCGGATCAGAAACTACCTTTCCAGGACACTGATCCATCGTGTTGAGGACGGCATCCATTTTTCCACGTACAGGGAGCTTACAAGTAAAGACGATTATATCCACTGCTTTTCCGCCCACAGTAATAACAGATCTGGGGTTATATTTAGTTTGTTCCTCAGATCACTGACTTTCTCGAGACAGAAGTTACTTAAATAATAAATTCATTCATGAAAAGAAATATCCTGGAGGCTTTCTCGAGACAGAAGTTACTTAAATTCATTCATGAAAATAAATATTCTAGAGGCTTTATTCTAGACCTTAGATAAACCAGTAAGAAGTTGGGGATTATACTAACTTGATCAGACCCTGCCTACATACAATACATATAAATATATCTATATGTATATATATACGTGTGTGTGTATGTGTGTGTGTATGTGTGTGTGTGTGTGTGTGTGTGTGTGTGTGTGTGTGTGTGTGTGTGTGTGTGTGCACCTTCTTCTAATTTTGTAACATTCCCAAGGCGAATCAGCAGGTAAGCTTTGACAGTACAGTAAAACTCCCCCAGCACATCCGCTGAAAAGATACACAATACGATACGAGGCAGAGAGCCGCCCACGAACCGCCTCGACGCCGCCTACCCTGCATCAGATGTGGTAAGCAAACTATGGTGAAGCAGGACGTGGTTTCGATACCAGGGTCAGCGAACATCGGGCTCAAGTTCGTCACCATTGAACTTCCATATATATACATGTATATATATATATATATATATATATATATATATATATATATATATATATATATATAAAATTAAATACATAGATGTATATATATAAACATACATATATAGATATACACATACATATTTATATAGATAGATATAAATATATATACATGCCTATATATATGTTATATATGAATATAATATATTATATTTACTAATATATATATTATATATATATTATATATATACATACATATTATATATAATATTATATATATATATATATATATACATATATTATGTATGTATGTATGTTGATATAATATATATGTATATATATGTATATATACATACATATATGTAGCTATATACATAGGTATGTATATACATATATGTTGTATGTGTGTGTGTGTATATGTATAATATATATATATATATATATATATATATATATATATATATATATATATATATATATATATAAACAACTATAATTAGTGAGGTGAGTAAATATATACTTCGAGGAATCCAACGCAACAAGCATGATGGCAAACTGACATCCTGAGTTCCCATTAACTTTGCCAAGAGCTCCTGAGCCTCTTGTGAAGAGTCCCTGTCACAAGCACAAAGGAAAGTCCACATAGCGACATGGAAAGCGTTGACGTTGCTGTAATGACATGACGAAAGTCTTTCCCCAATAAGGGCTGAGATGAGTGCGGTCTTCCCGACGGTCACCGCCCGTGCATCTCCTCCCCCAAACGCCCTCGCTATCCAGGTCAGGGGCGTGGCGTGGGGATCCGGAGAGACGCGGTGCCTCACGAGTGCCAAGTTCTCTGGCGATGGAACTCGAGAACATTGACAGAACAGATGAGACCACAGGTGATTGAGGACCCACAGTGATGAGACCACAGAATGGATGATGACCACAGATGAGACCACAAGTGATGACACACAAGATGATGACACCCACAAGTGATGGACACCACCAGTGACACAGGCACGCAGAGAAAGGGGATTTTAAACGGTTACTTGAGAAACAACACCCCGAGCGCGAGAAATGGCTAATCTGAACAGTTCACTTCAAGTCCTCGGGATCAATTTCAAGAGAAGCGAAGACATGACAAAGATGCTAATATAAGCCCTTGATATTAATTTATTTTCCATTGCAACAGAGAGCAGCACGGTTTTCGAAGTTGGAAGTCAGTCGCACAAAATTACAGCGCAAGCCATTATATATCAAATTCCCGGAAATAGCAAAAAGTTAACCGAATAAGCCACTCGTAAAGCGAACTGCCAAACCAGATAGAAGCGATAAAGTCTCTCGACCTCCGAGGTAATACGCCCAAGTCACCGTGTTATGGGCGTCCCTCGCACCCTCGGCTCTCGCGACACGGTGCCCCCGGATGGACTGTGTGTGTGTTGTGTGTCTTGTGTGTGTATGTCTGTGTGTGTGGGTGTGTGTGTGTGTGTGTGTGTTTGTGTTGTGTGTTTGTGTGTGTGTGTCTGTGTCTGTGTGTGTGTGTGTTTTGGTGTGGGTGTGTGTGTGTGTGTGTGTGTGTTTGTGTGTTCTGTGTGGTGTGTGTTTTCTGTGTGTGTGTGTCTGTGTGTCCTGTGTGTGTGTCTGTGTCTGTGTGTGTGTGCGTGTGTGTGTTTGTGTGTGTTGTGTGTGTGTGTCTGTGTCTCTGTGTGTGTGTCTGTGTCGTGTGTGTGTGTCTGTGTGGTGTCTGTGTCTGTGTGTGGTGTGTGCGTGTGTGTGTGTCTGTGTCGTGTGTGTGTGTGTGTGTGTGTGCGTGTGTGTGTGTGTCTGTGTGTGTGTGTGTGTGGTGTGTGTTGTCTGCGTCTAAATGCAGAAAGGTACCTTCGGGCAAATTAGATTGACCGCGAGTGCATTGTGCCTCGGTGGAGACAAAGATCTAAGGTCAAACAAAGTTCACGTCAGAGAGAGGGTCATACCTTATATTTGCATAAATCTACGAAATCCACCTGTTGTTCGTCAATTATATATTCCAGATTATCCTCGTGTAGCTTCATTTCTTCAGTACCTTTTATCCGTCTTTCCTTTTCTTCTTCTTTTGCTAAAGCTTTCAGTTTGAACGCAAGGGGTAATTCCATACTTTTACGGAACAAATACGAAAAATGAAAATCCTGCTGGGCTTGTAATCAAAACCAGATTGAATTTTGACCGAAAACCCAATTAATTTCTGCCTCTGTGCGACTCAAAGTCATTTTCACTTTCACTTGCACTTTTCTGGAATATTTGATGAATGAGTGTAATGCATATCTGTTAGTAATTCTTGCTATTCTTATCAGTGAGTCTAATGTTGATAATGATGCAACGATAACGAGTAACGCAATATAGTTACTTAAAAGCGCTTTTCAAGATCACAGCCAAGTCAATGATAACAAAATGCTTAAATATTCATGATGTGTACTCCTGTATCCATATAGTATTGATACTGCTGTTATCACCTAAATATGTATACGTAATAAATAGAGAGAGAGAGAGATTGGTAGATAGATTGACAAATAGATAGGGAAAGAGAGATAATCGGGGGGAGATAGGGATGGATTAAGAAAGAGAACGAGAGAATGAGCAATAAGAGAGAGAGAGAGAGGAGAGTGTGAGAAAGATATGTTTAAAAAATAAAGAAGAGTGGATAACAGATGTGATGAAATAGAATGAATAAAACGAAAACGGTGAGATTGAATATATATATATATATATATATATATATATATATATATATATAATATAGAGAGAGAGAGAGAGAGAGAGAGAGAGAGAGAGAGAGAGAGAGAGAGAGAGAGAGAGAG